ATTAATACGCCTTATTCGTTTTTTTTTATTCTTTTAATGTTATTTGAATTGCTTTAATTTGACGACCCAATAAATGCATGTGCTCAGTAATTACCAGCTCACCAATCATGAAACATTTAAAAGCGTTAAATATTCGGGCCGGGGGAATCTATCGAAGCGTATGGAAAAAATTGCAATCACAAAACCGCTACTTATACAGAAGTGATGACGCCAAATGCCTTTTTCAGACTTCCTACCTTGTCTGACCATGATTGAGATTGCCTGCTGGCTTCCTCATTTGTTCCGAAAATGCGATGTGGGCAGATCAAATTTTCCATTCGCATTCCAAATAATATTATACTTCTCCTGACCGTAAGGTTTATCGTATGTTTATACAACAAACATTGCATATTGGGCGCCTACGAGCGAATTCTTCAGTCTTATACGCGCGGCCGATCGGCCTAAAGCGAGGCAACAATGAACGGTGTGGCTGAAAGACTGGTAAACAAGAGTTGTATCTATGCAAGTAAAGAAAAGTTTACAAGATAAACATCCCAAAATCCCTTAACTAAACTTCACTATCACAAAGAAAACCGGTTTCACTGCAAAAATGGCATCGGTCTGGTATTTGACGAGCTGGCCAAGCTTGCAAGTTCAGACCTGATCAATCGGCTAACCTTTGAGCTGAACGCACAAGGATCTACTTCTCATACTTTCCGGCCTGTTTCGCCAATAAAAGTAGATAATTTCAGTGGGGATGCATCAATTGTATGAACTGCTCATTCACAGCTCACAGAGTCAATACATACCGCAGGCTGTTGGCTTCGGTTGGACCTCACAGATACCAATAATTTATGAATGTATGCTTGAACTGGTCACTTAATCGACTAAAAGGCGCAACGAATGACTCGGTATGACGTGAAAAGTGAACAAATGCTCCGTATTTCGGTAGCCTTACTGGACTTTGCGCCAGAGATTATAGATTATTATGCAAGTGTTACTAGACAAGTATTTGATATGACGCCGTTGTCAACCAGGCTCTGTTCAGATGTACAGATTTTCAGCAAAGGTGGCGCATGCAGATGGACCTTTACGAGAAGCTTCTCCTGCACGACAAAAGCAGCGCCAATTGGCCCGAAACGGCAATACTGTTGCTAGCTGGCCCCAGCCGGACTTGAGTCCGAATGATGTACCGGAGGACTGCGGTGAAAGCAAATACATGCAAATTGAAAAGATGAACAAGCTGCAGGTCTACTTGACCAACCTGCAAGCGCGAAATGATCGGGAATCGGACATGACGAACGGTGCTGTCGGGTCGCAGAGACAGAAATTGAGTCCGCCCTCGACCTCCAGTTCAGCCTCGAGTCTCAGCTCGCTTCGCAGCATTGAAGAGTACGCATTTCCTGCGACTGTTGACATGTTTCAGAATGGGATTATTGTGAGGCAGCTGCGAAAGGAGGGCTGCGCTGTAGCGCAGGCTGGCAAGAATGTGGCTGCCGGTTTCTGTACAAGTGGCTCTCTTTTCAGAGAGAATCCCTTGCGCCAACCGTTTAGGTCAGCATCCTACAGCGCTTCAACGGCAGTTGAAAGTGCAGAGGATGGCACGGCTAAATGTGGTTCTGTACCATCTGCGAAATATGTGGCACATAAAATAGTGGAGGACATGTTGGGCTATTATCTCGTCAAAGGTGATATGAAGAGGATGGAGAGAATTGGATTGCGGCGAATGGAGTGTGAAGATGATGCGCCCAACTCAAAGTCGACCGAACCGGATCAGGAACGTGGCATGAAGGCAATAGTCAAACGTACTTCTCAGCATTCGGAAGGGTCGAAATCGAACGATTCAACACACGCTTCGAGTAAAGGCTCGTTTAAGGTCAGCCTGAAGTTACCATACTTTTGTTTGATGCATTAATTGCAATGAGAATGGCAGTAGTGTTGTTAAAATGATATTAAATGGCAAGAAATTCCTTAACCTTACTTCCTAAAAGATTTTAGTAGGTCTAAATTTAGAATGTATAGCTTTAAACTACTATGCCTCTAAATTCTTTGGAATATATAAACTTTAAGTGATTTTAGAATTCGACTGTCTTATTAAGGTCATTATGCACTCTAAGCACTGGATATAAATGGGGAAAAAAAGCCTCAGCGAGGATAGAGATTTCAGCTGGATTAAATTCCTACAAGGACTGGGGAGCCAGCCCAAAGTATGCAGGTAAAATATTCATAATAGCTCTAAATGAATTGTTGTAAACTTTGTCTTGTCTGCAGGTAGGTTAAACCAGACCTTTCGAAAGATTTTGCTGATTGTGGAAATTTAATGAAAGGTTTGATAATTTTGTGGATTGTTTAAATTCTCCTAAATTTACACATTTCTGAATGGGCTTACTGTAAACTTTGGTAAATTTTAAATATATAAACTGTATGCCACATGTAAACAGAACATTTTTTCTGACTTAGATTTGGAAGAAATAAAATTTTGTTACCATCCAGATAATTACCTGGAATATGCAATTCTATATAATCCTACAAACTGTCATAGGATCATTTTTTCGCAAAACACCTCAAACCAAAGGTTTCATTGATCAATTTATCAGGACATAATTACGACTAGAAATAAAGTTTTTTATAATAATGCATTATTATTACATAATGATATACTATTCGTGTTCAATATCATGCTTCACATTGTATTTATGCCTCTAAGTAGAAGCTTAGTCAACTAAATTGACAAAAATAACTTAGGATGGGAATTTTCGACAGTCAAAGGAAAGTGTTTTATTCTTTATTTATTTTTATTTGTTTCTATAAACTGCTGCCTCGTCTTTCTCATTATTATAGGTATTTATGCCATAAATATTTAACAAATGCGAAAAAGACTATTTGCCAATATTTAACTTATTTTGAAAGGGAAAGTGTTTGAATAAAATTACAAATTGACTTACAGGACTAATGTCCGACAGCAGGTGCGACAACCAAACTGCCAACTTGAAGGAAATGACAAACATTCAAATATTTTATGTAACTGGTGTTTAAACATTTTTATCCATTTCTAAATTATTTTATTATCTGGTTCGATATTTCCATTAAGATATTTATTTTTGAGACTTGATCGTCAATAAGTATATTCTGTATCGGAGATTTAAGGTGATTTTATTAATATTATTCTGCATCTAGAGACCGGAAAACAAATTTTAATAGACAAAAAAGAGACAAATATGATAGAGTCACCGAAATTAAATTTCTCTATTATTCTTTAGATCGTATTGGAGACAAATAATTTCTCTTTAGTACTTTACATTAGTTTATTATTAATGCCAATTATTTATGCTCTTAATCCAACTTATTAAAGCCTCTATAAAATTTTTTAGTCAGATCCGGTTTATTATGAATCGGACTCCAAGCTTGATGTCCTTCTACCAACACCCAGCTACATTGGTTCATCTATAGTCACAAAATCTAAGTCACAATCCTTTCGAAACCTTATTATAACACTTGATTTGCCAGTAGATGAGTGGCTTGAAGCTGCTGCCTTGGGTGAAAAAGCATCTCTACCGCCTGATCATAATAAAGGAAAAGATTCTCGACTCACCCGAAGAAAAGAGCTAACCAACGAGAGAAATAAGGAAATGGTCGTCTCGTCAACCTCTCGTTTCGATGCGTGCACCCAGACAAAGTTACGCTATTTCGTGAAATATGACGAAGAAAAACAATTTGGGAAACATTTTTTTGCCGATGATGAGCTAAATAGGCATTTATACATTATGCTCAGTGATGAAAAGACTCAAAATGATACCCAAATAGAAGTGACTGATCAAAACTCAGGTCTTTCATTGGAATCCAGACTTCGGATAAGAAGAAGATTTTCACACGTTAAACAGGTGACTTTTATCTCCGTATACTTAAATGTATATTTATTGACAAGTTATAGAGGGAATACAAGTACCATCTGTACTTTAGAGAGATAGAGAGAGCTCTCAATTTCAAGCATAGTATCAATCATATTAGCTAATCCATATTTAGTTGTCTAATTGAAAATTGTTTTGAACATTTTGAAAGAGTTTAATCGACTAAAGTATAACCAATTATACCCTATTCCAAATATGTGAAGGCCATTTACATATTTATCACAGTATTATATGATAGACCAAATAATAAAAATTGATCGTTTTTCTGAGAAGATGCTGATGCATATAAAATATTAATCAATTTCAGGGCTGTATAAAATAATTAATATTATGGGATAAATTAATTAGTACTTATTATTTTTGGCAGAATGGCAGGCACTGACTGCTGGCTTTATAGCTTTACTTTATTGTTATTTGGCCATGTTTAAACATTTTTAGCATTCTATCCCACACCCGACTGAATTTGTCTGCAACCATGCTCATGTGCAATGAGAAAATTTATATTCAGACTGCACATACTTGCGTTACTAGTTAAGAATTTCCTCTAAATACTTGTAGTTAGGGCTGGTCGAAGTTATATTCACTCATGGAAACATGCACCATAAAGGAGTTTGTTTCATCAAGCTAAATTATATTTATTTGCATGAATTCGATATACTTTAATGAGTGTATTAACAGCAGTTCAAGTGACCAAAGTATATGTTCTATATTAAATATACTTATATACTTCTAAATATAAATTTCGCGCGTCTGCCTTAACACATCTTAACTGGATGGTTTTTACTAGCTCTGGCTTTATTATTAGCAATCTATACTTGAGCTCCTTTTCCCTTTAATTCACTTTTTATAAATTTATTCAGACTCACCATTTTCCAAGGGGCGTTAAACCTAGTGCTAAGTCGGGTAAAGAATTTTTAATTATTGCCGCTAAACTGTCTACATGGCTATGGTCCAGTGGACTTTTGACTTCCTGATTGCAAATCGGAACCATTTAACAAAAACTTTATTGTATGCTTTAAGAAACTGAATCATCACAAAGAGAATGAAAACCTTGCACTATTTGATTTATTTCCGAGATGTAGATAGCCACGCGACTGTATAAAATATTTAAATACTTATTTCATATGATATTGCATTAAAATGCAATAGGGCAGTCCAAATCTATGAAATCTACAGTCATTGTCTCGTAGAATGAATGGGAGTTTAAGCATCTTAAGAAACTCAATCCTATGCAATTCCTTGTTTAAATACATAACAGCGAAACATTCATAATCAAGAGATTATGTGAATAAGTCACAAAGTATACGCTCTTTCTCAATGCCCTCATCGCCTCACCGACCAGACCGCCCAGGCTCCGATCTCAGGCACTGCCGTCACGGATCGTCTGCTTGATGAAACCCGTCTAGCCCGAGCAAACTGGCGACGCCTAACCCGAATCCTGGCCGACTTTGGCAGATCAAGTGGATTTCTAGTACATTCTGGCCATAACGCCGAAATTCTGTGACTGCCAGGCCCTAAAGTTGTTCTGATTTCTTCGAGCAGGCTTAACTCACTGAGGACGTCTTCAATTTAGCTCCGAAATCTCCCTCCCTCCTCTTGCTTGCGATCCCTTTTCCTCAGGTTAGCGATAGATCCCTGATCCAGGTCTTGCGATTCTCGAGTTTGCTCATGCAGAAGGAAACGTTATCGCCAACTCTGCCGACCTTTAATCTCAATGGACTCCCTCTTCTTCCTCTTGCTTGTGCTTTCACCCTGTGGGGCCCTTCTTTCTGTTCCTTCAAGATGATCCCGTGTCCAGTCTGTGTGATCTGTTTCGTTAATTCTCATCTTTCGGTATCCATTTTCCTGCAGAGCCTTTGATGTTCCTTGCTTCGTGTGCTAATTTTTCTCTCGGTTCCGCCAATATATTTCCGTTTACAGGTGCCTCATGATATACAGTAAACTCCTGAACAATCCCATTTGTCTACCATTTCATGTTGCTTCGAAAGACTTGTGAAAAGTGTTGATTTTTCCTTTATGGCCACCCGAAGATTTCATTTTATCAACATTGGCCGTAGTTGTTGAGTTAGTTCGCAGGAAGGTAGACATATCTACTTTTGTGAATCCTTCATCGTCCTCTCTGTTCTTTTCTAGTCCCCGTTCTGCTATCGGCTTTTCACGGCTTGTATGTTTCTTTGTATCACTTCGATTGGGTAGCTATTGCCGAAGAATATCCTCGTCAATTTGTCTAGCTCCTCGTCCCAGAAATATACATCCGTCAGGCGTAGGCTTCGGATGATCATGCTCCTCAATATTCCACTCTTTAGCTTGTAATTGTCATGGTACCGGAGAGTGAGTATATTATTCCAGCATAGGACTTCTTTCTGAACATTTTTTTTTGAGCGTCTTACTTCAACCCCCATTAATGGTCACCGCTCACCTTCTCCTACTTCCATCAGGAATTGTATTTTTTCATCAACCTGCTTTACAAACTTCAGAAACTCTTCCAGTTTTTCTCTTCCATCGGACCAAAGTGCGAAATAATCATCCACGTACCGCATGGACACTGCCGGTTGTAGCGGTGCCATCTGTAAAATCTCTTTTATTTTGTTCATGTCTATGTTTGCCAAAAGTGGTGAGAACGGCGATCCTATGGGAAGTATAATTATTTGTTCAAAGCTGTTCCCGTTGTCCCTAAAAACCGGTATATATATTCCACATCTGGACTCTTTGATGAGATATAAAGTGATTTGGTTAGTTACGCTCATGCATCAACCTCAAAGCTTGCGAGTGTGTCTGTCTCTCTATGCGTATGTGCCTGCTTGTGTTCGGTTATGCACGAAATCCGCAGTGATAGCTCAAAGTAATGAGGACAACAAAAGTAACGTCTGCTCTTGGCAACAAAGATTTGATAATCGCTATCTCCCCGTTTCTATGTACAAGTTATAACCATCAATCCGATTGTGCAAGTTCGGACATTCATCTGGTTTTGTTGATGAGTCTTTTTCTTTTGTTTTTGGTCTCAATGCAAGAGAGAAAGAGTGAGCTAAAAGCACAGAGAAGTGGCCATGATTAGAAGAAAAACAAGAAAAAGCTCGTTGTGTCGCCTCCTTTTTGCAGGCGGCTCAACTCCTTCTCTACCCTTCAGTCGACTAATTAAGCACAAGTAATTTTTACTTTTCCTCTTCCCGGCATTCCTTACATTCAAGGTATTTCCTATTTGGTTTATTTCGATGGCTTCTCTAATTTTAAGTTTAGCCGCAAACATGCCATAATCAGCAAAACGAAAAGTGAATGAATGGTCTCAAACTTATCGTTTTGCTGATTATGGCATGTCTGCGGCTAAACGAAAAGTTAGAGTAGCCGTCGAAACATACCGAATAGAAAATACATTAAATGTAAAGAATTCCGGGAAGAGGAGGAGTAAAAATTACTTGTGCTTAATTAGTAGACTGAAGGATAGAGAGGGAGTTGGGCCGCCTGCAAAAAGGAGGCGACACAACGAGCTTTTTCTTGTCTTCCTTCTAATCATGGCCACTTCTCTGTGCTTTTTGCTCACTCTTTCTCTCTTGCATTGAGACCAAAAACAAAATAAAAAGACTCATCAACAAAACCAGATGAATGTCCGAACTTGCACAATCGGATTGACGGTTATAACATGTACCTGGAAAGTGAGATATAGCGATCATCACACCTTGTTGGCCGAAAAGAGACGTTACTTTTGCTGTACATCACTGCGGGTTTCGGGCATAACCGAACACAAGCAGGCACATACGCATACAGAGACATGACGGTAACTAACCAAATAACTGTATACCTCGTCAAAGAGGCCAGACGTAGAGTAAGTATACCGCTTTTTAGGGATGTGTCAGTCAGTTTTCTTGACTCTTCAGCTTGAATTTGGTTGTGAAGATGCCACCTTGCTCTGGTGATTTTGGTCATATGACGGACGAAAGCTTAGCATGTTTTCAACGGAATCGAGCGAGATTACCTCGGAAACAGAGTCAACACAAATGTTCCAGTAAAGCCAATAGACAGTTGCTCAAAAGGAATCCGCCGTCGTCTTCTTCTTCGAACCACTTCACTCAACACTTTCACTCGAAATGGAAGTAAGCTCA